CCCCAAAACCCCAAAACCCCAAAACCCCAAAACCCCTTAAAATAAAGAATCATTGCACCATTAGTTATTAAGACGGCAGGGGTCTAACTCAGCTTACATTAGACAGTAGTCATAGAACAAATTTAGGTAAATGAGTGAAGAGCAGCCGAACTGTGTGATAAAGCCACACTTAAATATTTTGCAATCAAAGCAGAAGGTGCTTAATTATCTCAATAGAACTTATTCCTTTCGAAAATTTATTCAAGATGTATTTACGAATAGAGTTGAAGTAAATTAGGGTTATTAAATGATTGTTTAATTTTTAAAATTCTTCTATTCATGCAAATCCAGGCCCTGATAATTTTATTAGAAGGATAAGAACAAGATCTATCTGCACCATCTCTTAAGCCCTGGAGTTAAATCCTACAAAAAAATTGATTATTTTGATCAAAGCTCATTTATTCAAGAGATAAATCAGGTATCACTCTCAATTTCTCTGTAGTTAAAGAAATAACAAATGGCGTTTATTCTCAAAGTGCTAGAGAATAACCAAATTAACAATAATCGAATTTTTTCGAAAAATGAAGACTTTTGAAATTCTGAAACTGATTTGAATATTCAATACAGCATTTAATGCTTCTTAAATATATATTCCAAGAAACTGATATATTGGCGATGCATTTCTTCACTTTTTTGCAGAACAAATTCATAAAATTTAAGAATAATTTAAATTTTCTGAAATTTACAGATCACTGTTTAAAATTTGATTTTACTTGTGAATTGATTAATTACTCATATCTCAAAAGATAGATGAAAAGGATGTACGCATCTCCAGAATATCTCTCTTCCCAGATAGGAAACAAAAAGCAGTTTTACAGTCTTTTCAGCCTTGATTGTGAGCCCTGTATTTGTAATATGATTGAGTGGACCTATATCTGCTCCCATACAAAATATGACGAATATACTTTATGCAAAAGCTTCTTAGAGGGAAGAAGAAGGCCCATAGGAGCTTTTTGGAATAAATGATCAAAAATATTGGAATATGATAAGGGTAAGATAATACCAGCCCCTTGCTACAAAGAGAAGGGAGCTAAACTAATTTAGAAGTTTGTTAATCAAGTTAAAGGAATGAAATCATATTTCCCTAATTTTTAAGAAGACTGATGCCAGTAAGAACAGAGAAAAAGAGGAGCCATAGGAAAAAGAAAACTGAAGTAAATCAACCAGGAATACCTTGGTAAGATCCACAATGCTCCAACTGCAGCAAAGGTGAGCTGAGAGTTGCTTCAAATCTGAAATTGTGAAAGAAAAGCAGATAGTAGCTACATGCTTAGAAACAAAACCAACCAAATTAAAAAGGAAGAAACACAAGGAATATAAAGCGGAAATTCAGATCTTAAATCAACCTCAGTCAGAAGGAAGAACGTTTGAATGCATCCCCATAGAAAGCCTGCATGAATCATTCAAAGATCAAGAAGGATCCAAAAAGAACGAAGGTCAGTACTAAATGGAGCTGAATCCCAAACTTCATCGACCACCAAGGTTTCATCACAGAAAGCCTAGGCTCATATAGCAGGAGGCTCTTAAATAAGACTTAAGATTTTAACCAATGATTCTAAAAATATCTTCAAGCTCCAAACTTCTTTCATTTAGTAATCTTCAATTTTATCATGAGGTGAAATTGCATAATTAAGCTTTCAATAACGAGCAAGAAAAAGAGCCTACTAGGTCCTTTAGTCGCATAAATCTTGGAAATATGGCTATAAAATAAAGCTGAAGACATAAGGGACTAATCTTATAATGGAGAATAGAGAGTGGAAGAAATTGAAAAGTCGAGAGTATCAATGAGAAAAAACACTCCCCAACCAAGACTCTGACTTTAATCATAGCCAAGCAAGTAGTATGAAGGTGGATTCACACTAAGCTCAGATCTTATTTGAACTTTGAGAAACAGCACATACGAGGTAAGAAATAGTATTTATTCCTTCCAGCTAACTTCAGAAGACAAATAATTCAAAATTGTTGCTAAATGAATAATTTCAGTTAATTAAACTCTACCCGGGGTTTTGGGGTTTTGGGGTTTTGGGGTTTTGGGG